CCCCAAAACCCCAAAACCCCAAAACCCCAAAACCCCTTTAAGGATTTAAATAAAAATTATTGATGAGTAGGGGTCAGATGGAAGTCCTCGCTTGCTCTCTGGACTTCTCCAATTTTCTCAGCGTCCTTCTGATTCAACTCTCTAAAGAATCTAATAGCATCTTTTGCTTGTGACTCATTCGCAGTGATCCTTTGATCAAGTAATTGTAACGTGTTTGAGAGAATATCTAGCTGATTGACTATCTTACTCACTGTAGAGCTGATCTCATGGGGAACGTTGTCAAGATGTTGCTTCGAAAATGCAGTATCAGGGATACATTCAACCTTTGAAGGCTTGCTATAAAACTCATCCTCAGGTGTTTTCATGATAAAATCATTGTATTGATACTTTCCTCCTGCAATATCAGAGCGAGTCCTATCGCTCTTCATATTTTGACCAGGCATTAGCCCTGAATGAGTCGAATTCTGGGTATGGAGCCTTGGTTTAGAGGGGCTTTTCTTTGTTCCTGAAATTGACTTCGCATCTTCTCTATCTACAAGATAGGTGTCAATATTAGGCCTAATAGTAGTCTCTCTCATCCCTCCAATAGAAACAAGTCCTGATACGTCTTCTAGTGTTTCTGTCTCTTTATTGGAGTCGAGGTTTGATTTCCAAACATTGACGATAGTGTCTTCTCCCCCAGTGGCAAAGTAATCTCCTCATTCTGAGAAATTAATAGCACTCACTGCATCTTCATGTCCATAAAGAGTGAAGAGGATGTTGCCCATTCTGATATCCCAGATCTTGGCTGTGTTATCATCAGATGCCGAGATAAGGTATTTCCCATTAGGGTGGAAACTAATCTGGTTTATTGGCCCATCATGAGCATCATAATGCTGTAATAATCTCTTGCTTCTCAAATCCCACAATTTAATGGTTCAGTCATTGCTTCCAGAGGCAACTCAGGTTCCATCAGGGTGGAATCTGACATCTCTGACAATGTCGAGATGATCAACAAATGAATTGAGGTTCTTTTTCTTAGCAATATCCCATAATTTGACAGTTTTGTCATCTGAGCCAGAGACAATCAACCTTGCATCTGGAGAGAATTGCGCACTCCTTATCCAATTTGTGTGTCCAAGGATGGATGAACTAAAGGTAGCAAATATTCTATCTCTTCCTTTGATTTTCCTCTGCTTGAGATTCCAGGTCTTAAGAGTCTTATCATCAGATCCTGTGAGCAGCATTGACCCATCCTTAGAGAAATCAATAGCTCTAATAGGAGCGGAATGAGACTTAATAATCTCTTTCTGGTAGTTCACAGCATTTGTCCACAGAATAACTGTCTCATCTGAACTAGCTGAAGCAATGAACTTCCCAGTAGGATGGTAAATAACTTTGTGAATCGGTGCTTTGTGGCCAACGAACTCAAATGGTCTGCTTTGTGGTTTAAAGTTCCAAGCTTCAATAACTCCATCTTTGGCTCCTGACAGGCAGTACTTCATGTTACTAGAGAAGCAGACAGACGTGACTGTGTTCTTGTGACCTCTAAAGGATCTCTGAAGCTCAGGATCTCCTGCCTTTGACTGGTACTTCGGCATCTGTCCAGAAGTAGGATTAGTAAGTAAGCTTGTAGTACTTCTATAAGTCGTCTTCATTTTTGTGTCGAAATTAATCGATTTTTAAAATATATTTCAAATTTAAATAAACTTTTGGGGTTTTGGGGTTTTGGGGTTTTGGGGTTTTGGGGTTTTGGGGTTTTGGGG